CCGTGAAAATTTTTTTATTTGTGTTTTTGTGCCCCCCCCCCCCCCCCCCCGCAAGCCCTTTGAAACAGAAGAATTACCTTCTATTCAAAAACTAAATGCATATTAAAAGCAATCTGGGAGCAGCTAAGCAGCTTTGCATAGTAGATATATTTGGATTTGTACCATAAATGCAACTACAATTTTAACACAAAATGGCTGTGTTCAACAAACACCACAGCAGCCTGTGTAGGACTGCAGAAAGCAATAGTCAGAGCCCCAGCAGACAACAGAACAATCTGTACCAGGAGCCAGCGGGGACAGGAAAGTTAAACATCAAGTGCAGGTGGGCCACCCCTTGGCCAGACGAGGTATATCAGCGATTGTGCCCCTCGGTCACTGCTGAAACCTTCATACTTCAGTGCAGAGAAAGATGTTAACCAACGAACCGGTATTTGCATGAAGAAAAATGAGCAAGTGGTAAATAAAGCATTGCCTGTGGAAGTTCACAACCCAACCACTTCTATGGTCTCGGCACCGATTTGTCTTTTGCTACCCGCACAAAACACATGAGCTACTGGCAACTGTGCGCTTAGGAAAATCTGCTCACTTCATTTACAGCCTGAAATTGGATCCAAAGTCATGAAAATCCATGGGAAAAACATGTGAATATTTGTTTCAGTCAGAAAAGGCTTAGAGAAAGCATGACATTTCAGCCTGGCATTTTATTTTGCAGTGCTTCATCCCCAGCCCTTGGTCCTGAAAACAGTTCTTCCAAAGTCCCCTGACCTGGCAGTGCACTCTCCCATTTGCAAATGCTGTGTCACTACTCCCCTCTCTCGCTGCCCTGTAGTGACCCCATGGAGCCAGATCCCAGGTGTTAAAAACCCACTGTCCACCTGCAAGCAAAGGAACAGTCCCTGGCCCGGAGGGCTCAACGTATATCATTTTGCATGCCAATCTGGATTAGACTGATCAGCAAAATAATCCAGGTCAGACATGGAAGTACATGCTTGTGAGCACTGAGAGCAGCAGCAGATACAGCTGGCAGTACTTGCAGTCCACCCACAAGTATTGAGGTGTTTCTTTGCATCACAGCAAAGGAGAGCATTGAAGGGAACAAGTGAAATGGCTTTGCAGAGATTTATGGAGATTTTCTAATGCAGAAAGTGGAGCACAGGAGAAAGTGCAAAGGCTAATTTGATTACATTGTTAGCCCTGTATAAATTTAATAATGGACTCGCTTCCACATTTCTCATCGTAAACTATTTACATGCATCCACTAACTGCAATAGCTCAGCACCTCACGCTCTTGAATCAGTCTTCCCAACCCACCCCTGTGAGGAAGAGGAGCGTTACTACTCCTGCACAGATAGACAGAAGCAAAGGAGATGTTAAAGATCCAGATAAAAATTACTGAATTGATTATGGCT